TTGTCTATTTAAGCAGTCTTGTATATATAAACCATATGAATTACACTAGATGTCGTACCTGTAACCTACTATTACTTAAGTTACCCAATTAAACCCTCTGATCAACTTAGCGCCATTGGGATTTTCTCCCCAAAGAGGGAACTGCCACTAAGGCCCCTTAGGACTACTTTATCCTCATGGTAAACCTACTAGAGTGGTCTATATCCCACACATGTATCACCTAGATTTTCGGTAACTTACGCCTAGGCCACGGCCAGGTACTTGCGGCTTTTTTACCTCCGCTATCATTACCTACTCTGTGCCCTTGCAAAGTTCACCCAAACCCCAGCACCCACTTTATGGACTATCAACAATACTTCGATACCAACTGTTGGTGCCCCAAACTTCTAATCCAGATGGCCTGGGAGGGTTCAGTGAGCGTCTTCTGGTATTCCAAATGAATCCTTTTTCCTCCAGCTGTTCCGGCTGTTCCGGCGGTCTGGTTGGTGTAGTGCTTGCCAAACACTTGGTCCTCGTTCAGTTTGACTATAGTGTCTGGTTCCCTAGATGATAATCCTTTATGTAGTGCTATCGAAGATCTGTGCTACCTCTCTACTCGGGACTTCTCAAGCAGGCTTCCATATCCTCTGATTTCTTAGATTTATTTGGCTGCTTCACTCAGGTTTTGTGTAACTCATACGTTACACTACATTCCACAACCTCCCAATACAAGTTGGTGAGACCAAAGTCACAAATGCTTACTCGATTGATATGTCATACAATTTTACCATAATGCATTTCCGCAAATACGAATTTCGGCACTAGTGGGATTCGAATTCTTGTTCTGCCGCTTGGGGGTGTGACAACTTACCAACTACACTAAGTCACCACACCCCCCTATAACTCAATATATAAAATATATAAAAACATATAAAAAATAGGAAATTTGTTTTGCTTAAATATGGGATATAACCCAGGTTGAGATATAACCCAGTGGAGATATAACTCAGGTATGACTATATATATCTACAATTATTTAGTTATTTGAAAAAGCATACTATAACTATCATCATTATTATATAATGACACTGAACTTCTTGGCGAAGACATAGAGCCTTTAGGTGAAGATACAGAAGTTCAAGACGAAAATACAAAGCTTGTTGATGAAGATACAGAATGACCGATATTATTTTCAGTTGATGGAACTAAGCAAACAACACTGTTGGGTGATTGTTCTGGATCATCAATATTGTCAAACAAAAAATCTAAAATATTTTTTTTATAAAAAAAAAAAAGTAAAAATTTGTAATAAATAAAATACACTATATTAATTTGATTAATTTTAATATTAGCTATATCATTGTTCAGGCTTACTTCATAATCAATATTAGGGATTTTAATTGTATCTAGTATTTCCTCTTCATCAAAAATATTATTATTATAAAGTTCATTTATCAGAATACAATTACCACAAAGCTTATCTCCATATACCAACTCATAAGTTTTTTTGTAAGACCTGCACCATAAATTGTTTATGGCAACCACCACAAATCTCAGACCAAATGACCAATCATTTTGGCCAGTAGTTTCTTTCCATTTATCTAGCTTTTGTTCCAAAATGCTATTTGTGTATTCTACCAAACCTTGTGACTAGAGGTGCCTCAGACACACATTTATTATCTTTACTAATGGCTATAGTGCAATTAATTCCTTGATTACTTGTGCTACAAATTTCTTTCTATTATCCAATTGCAATATAGTCAAAGGTGATCCATTCATATAAAAAAGGTTAAAGAGAAAAGACACAACTTCAATTGGTCTTTTTGATATAAGGGCCTTGCCCACAAGAACCTAGTTAATAGTCCTTTATATGATACACATATTTATACTCTCCATCGGAAATGTAGGATAAATCAATAAGGTCTATCTGTATAATATATAAAAAATAATTATTGCATAATTTAATTTAATTTTAAACAACCCAAATTTACAGTACCTGTATTCTAGACAAAAAATTCTTGACAATTATAGGTTTTGCTGCCAAAGGGTAGAATGTTGGCTTCCTTATTGTACATGCTGTGCAATTGTTTATGAACTTTTTCACAATTTCTTGTACATTATAAAATCTTTCAACTATTAATACAGGGTTGTTCATGGCCTTAACAATTACTCTGTAATTCCCTAGCAAAATTTTCTTAAGCATGAATTTGTGTTTAGTCCAAGACTATAAGTTTTTATCATAAAGTGAATTATTCTGCAAATTTAATAGAATAGTTCTTATCTTATTTAATAGCTTATTGTTTATTAAAGCTTTTTGCTGTTTTACTTTTGGAAGGTTGGCTATATATCTTTTCACGATCTGGTTAAGAGTATTTCTGTTTATGAATATATACTCTATTTTAAAAACAAAATCAGAGCAATAAAGTAAAGAAGCAGCACCAAAAAATAAAGCCAACCCTTAAGAGAGAAAAAAACAAAACCAAAGTTATAAAGCAGCACCAAAGAACAAACCAACACTTAAGGAAGGTAAGAACAAGATCAAAGTTATAAGTAAAATTAGGCTCACCAAAAAAAAAACAAATGCTTAAAGAAGCAAAGACAAAACCAAATAAGGCAGCACCAAAGAATAAAGCCAATGCTTAAGGGAGGTTAAAACAAGATCAAAGCTAATTAGATGTGCCAAAAAAAATTAAACATTTAAGTGGCAAGACCAAACCAAATTATAAAACAGCACCAAAAAATAAGGAAAGTAAGAACAAGATCAAAGTTAATAAAGTGCGCCAAAGAAAAAAGCAAACGCTTAAAAAGCAAGACAAAACCAAATTATAAAACAGTGCCAAAGAATAAGCCAATACTTAATGAAGGTAAGAAAAGATCAAAGTTAATTAGGTGCGTTAAAGAAAAAAGCAACTGCTTAAAAGACAAGACAAAACCAAATTTTAAAACAGTGCCAAAAAAATAAGGAAAATAAGAACAAGATCAAAGTTAATAAGGTGCATTAAAGAAAAAATCAAATGCTTAAATAGCAAGACCAAACTAAATTATAAAATAGCACCAAAAAATAAGGAAAGTAAGAACAAGATCAAAGTTAATAAGGTATGCCAAAGAAAAAGCAAATGCTTAAGAAATAATACAAAATCAAATTATAAAACAGCACCAAAGAATAAGCCAATGCCAAGGGAAGTAAGAACAAGATCAAAGTTAATAAGGTGCACCAAAGAAAAAAGCAAATGCTTAAGAGCAAAACAAAACCAAATTATAAAATAGTGCCAAAGAATAAGCTAATGCTTAGAGAAGTAAAAATAAGATCAAAGTTAATTAGGTGTATCAAAGAAAAAAAGCAAATACTTAAGAGGCAAAGACAAAACTAATTATAAAGCAGCACCAATGTCAGAGTTATTTTAAGAAAAAAAATATGTCACTGAATATAGAAAAATTATAGGCACTACCAATATTGAATACAAAGCTAATGTTGAATGTGAAAGCCAATATCGAATGCAAAAGCCATGTTGAATGCAAAAGCCAATAGAAGATGTAAAGCCAACATTTATAAAGAAATATTCCAACCAAGCTTCAAGAAAGAAAAGAGAAGTAGCAAAGGGCTTTTTTTATACCCTTGCTTATAATTACATTATTACATAATGACGTTATTATATAATTATATTATTACATTTCGTTGAAAGAAACTTTATTTTTTTAGATTTTGATGATCTGCATTAGATTACAACTCACGCACATCAGATGACCAATCAACAGGTAACGTGCGTTATCTAAAAATTGGCATCTGATGCAGAAATGCATCTGAGACACAATATATATATGTATAATAGTCAATTTATAATAAAAAAAAATTATTCTACCTTATGATAAAGCTATATGTTAGAAGCTAATCTACTTCTAAAAATAATATTTATAATAAAATTATTTTCTTAAAATAAATCACAATATTTTAAATTTCATTTTAAAAAAATTAATTAATTTAAAGTTTCTGGTATTAGTTGATTTCTAAGTGCAGTTATATAATTTTTTGTATTAGAAAATAATTTTTTTGATAAAACAGATGTAGCAAAACTTGCTAAATATTACAGACTAATTATAATATAATAGGAAATTAAGTATAATTTTGTCTCTACTATATAAATAGATTATTAGTTTCAAGTAGCAGAATTTGTAATATAATGATATACTTTGTAAATTTATTACAAATATTAATATCTTGTTATTATATACAGTCAGACCTCATTATAGTCACTCTTGATATAGTTACAACCTTATTATAGTCACACTATTTCTTAATCCTAGACATTATAAAACATATAAAATTTGATCTTAATATAGTTACACTTTTTTATAATTACCAATTGTTTGTTTTCCAACCTGGTGATTATATCGAGGTCTGACTGTAATAGATTCTGAAAATATGCAGAATTTAAATTATTTTTTTCATAAAAATTTGCAATTAACTCTTTAAGTTTATTAAATTAGTCTTTAATATCATTATGAATTATACATTATTTAGTCTAAAAATAAATGTATTTATTATTATTTCTATTTAAATATAGGATTTTATAATTTTTTTGCATATGCGATATATTGCTACCTATAGGATCTGTGAAACATGAAATCAAAACAAACCAAAATAACCAATTTTTTCATTGGTTAGGGTTAGGGTGAGGTGAAGGTAGTGTAAAGGCGATAAAAGGAGGTTTATAGTAAAATTGCGCAAAGAATTTTTTTGTTAGAGCACAAAGAATAGTTTTATAAGCAAAATTTTGAGTTATGAACAATTTGTCAAAAAATTTAATGTTTTGTTTTGATTTTACATTACACCTGATCTTGCATTCTAATTGGTTGATCAGGGGGTAGTGATATATCGCTATAGCAATAAATTACAATATCCTTAAATATATTATATTTATAAATTTTTATAATAAAATAAATTTTTACTAAAGAAATAAAGTTTAATGCCTTAAGTCTTAAATCTAAAAATAATATATATAATTATAATTTGAAGGTACTTGTCAATATTCTTCAAAATTTTTAAGAAATAATTTTTGCATAGTTTGTACAATATTATCATCATTATTAGAAGTAATATTTTTTAAATTTTGAATTAAAATTTTAATAGCCAGAGTTATTAAACTTAAAGTACAATAATTTTTTTTTTAAGAATTATATTATTTTTTTAAAAGGTTTAAAAAAAAATTAATTTTGCAAGAGTTTTAAATGTAGATAGTAAAGATATAAATTTTTGTAATTTAGATTTTCTTTATAATTTTCATAACAAGCACTATTACTTAATATATTTTTTAACTAACAAATAAGTTTTTCTAAAAGAATAAGCTGTTTTAAAACAAAATATATTGAATTTTATTTAATATCAATAGGCTTAATTATATTAACTAGATTTTGAATATCTGTTGCTTTTTGAGCTTTTTGAAGTTTTTGTTATTTTTATTTTCAGAATTAATTCTTTGTATTATTTAATTATAGCTTTAATCATTTTAAGGCTATGAGTAATACTAAGTTGTAAAGTATAAAATTCACAAGGAATATTTACAATATTATCAAACTTTCAATAGTAGCTTTAATATTTACTTATTATCAGTTAAAATTGCAATAAGTTTTTTATCAAACTTCCAATTCTTAATTACTTCTTGAATAGTATTATAAATTTTCAAATTTTTAAAATAAAATAATTTGATCATTTTTTAGAAGAATTTCTTGTATTTAAAAATTTTCAGTTAACCAGTAACAAGTAATTTCTAAATACGAATTATGTCTTTTTGAACTTCAAATATCAAGAGTTAATACTTAGTATCTGCTTTTAACATCTTTTATTTTAATATAACAACACATTTGTTATATGTATCAAATAAATAAAATTTAAGTATTTTAATATATAGTACTTTATAAAATAGATTAATTTCAAAAATAACTTTTTAAAAATATTTATTTTCTACAAAAAATAATAGCAAAGCTGTCACTACAATTAATTATGTTAAACTAAAAGTAATTTCTTCTTGCTATTAAAAGAAATATTGTTTAGAAATTAATTTTTCTAATGATAATTGTTGAGCTTTTTTATTTTTAGATTTTTTACTATATTATTTGTAATTTTGTACTTATTTTGAAGATGTGAATTTATATTTATTATAAAACTATAAAAAATAAATACTATTTTGTATCCTGTAATTTTACATTTTTTGTTTTTTTATAGCTACTATACAGTGCTGTATATAGTATCCTGGGTATTTTACAAAAAAGCTGGTCTAGATTATATAATATTCTCTAAATATTAAGAAACAGAAAAATAATACAAATAATCCTTACTAATCACTATATACTTTGTTATTAAACATATCAAATTAAATAAAAAGATCACACTATTAATATGAAAACTAAACTACAAATCACTTATAAAAAAGAGAAATACTATTTCAAAAAGGTGCTATATGTAGTGTTATACAGTAGATCTGTATATATAGTAAAATATTTTGCTAAAACGTTTTAGATTCTTAATTATTGTTAAAGATTAAAATGAAATCTGATCAAAATGAAACTGAGAAGCACTCTTAGACCTATAAAACTCATATATATCTATTTATTATTAAACCTAATTCTAAACCCTACCCTTAATACTAAAAAGAGCCCAAAAAATATCTCCAAAAATTTTTAAATTTTCTTTAAAAAACAGAAAAATTTCATTTTAATCAGATTTCATTTTAATTTGTAACAATTATTATTAGATATTTGTAATCTATTAAATAAACTAAATGAACCAGAACTAGTAATTTGAGATTAAACAGATTGTTCTAATTCTTTATTTAGATTTACAACATTAGTAAAATATTAAAAGATAAATATATAATATAATTATCTTGAACAAATAAATTATTTATAGAAAAGAAGTATATAAGATATAATTTATAAGGTTAGTTAAGTTTTTTTATAAAAAAATTTAATTTGAAAACAAATTATTCTTTATAAAATAAAATTTTCTTTATTTATATTATAAAATATAAATTAAAAAATTACAATTTTTTTATATAAAAATAATATATAAATTTATATATCAAAAATAAATTTTTTAAATTACTATGCTTAATAAAATAAAAATGTCTTTAATAAAAAATAATAATAATACTAAAATAAACTGCTTCTGAAAATAATAATAATAAGTTAATTATCTTTTAAAAAAGTACTAGTGCCAATAACTAAAAAAATAATACAGATATATAATATAATTATATATAAATTAATACTAACTTTGTATAATAAAACTTTATTGATTAAATCAGTTTGTATCTATCTGACTAATCTATATATTCTAAATAATAATCATAATTAATTATTTATCTTTTTATTAAATATTCTTTATTATATAATATTATATATTGTATATAGATATAGCTTATTATAAATATAATTTCTTTAAGAATCTATTTATTTTATTTTATTTTTTTTAACTATCAACAGCCTCGCCAGTATTTTTATTAGATCAAAGCATATACAAATACATATATTTAACTATCTAAACTATAGATTTGATATTTTACAGCTATCCTATTGGATGCTCAGTGATGGTCTGTCTCACCAAATAAGATGTTTTGTTCACATCAGAGGGCAGCACCAAGCTAGCCTATAAAGCTATACCAAAATAGCTTTGTTTTATTTTTAATAAAATTTTTGGTAACTTTAAACTAAGTATTCTCTTTTTCTTTACTTTCTCTTCTTTATTTTCATCACTTTCTTTCTTCTTAACTTTTTCCTTGATTTGATCTTGGCTATTTTCTCCTACCAGAATTGATTTATTCTCTTTAGTGCTAGAATTCAGCTTCTCTAAAATAGGACTTTTTTCTTTCTTTTCTTTTAGGCTTATTCCTTTTTTCTTTTTTCAGTTATTTACGTACGCACATCTTGGTTTCATAAAAGTAATTCCAAGCTAAGTTGATCATTGTATCTAAGTAGTTTCTAAGTTCTTTCAGGCTTCTCACCATTTTGAGAATTCTTTTCACAACCTCTTCTTTAATCAAACTTTTAAGTACATCAACTCTGGTTTCATTCTTTTTTTCTTTAAATGAGCTCTACAAAGTCCTTCAAGTTGTGCTTTGTCAAAATAACTGTAGATTTTTTCTGATAAGGCTGTCTAGACCAAGTTCAAAGCTAGTTACTCTGTATCTTTTCATTTTATTTTATATTTCTTACTGTATAAGTTGTCAAGTGTTCTTGGTCTTATTCTTCATTTTTTTTATATATTATACATATTGAACTATTATATAATTCTGGTTTTCTGACTGATAATGTTTTTAGTACTAGTAGTTTCTCATACAAATATTTGATTAGTACATCTAGATGCTTATTTTTCCTTGAATTTGTATATCATATACCACTCTGATTTCTAATCTTTTTCTATAAAATGGACCAGTATTAGATTTGTACACTATCTTTAGTTTCTATTTTTCTTATTGCCGAAGAAGATTTCTATTCTACTTCTGTCTTGAGGTCGAGGATCATTTGTAGAAATTCTCTTGTAAAGTCTTCTACTATTATCTTTTTCTAGTATAAAGTAACGTTTGACTCCTGAAGGAGTTTTTTTATAATTTTATCTCTATCTTCTATTTTAGATCCTAATTTAGCTAATTTATCTGCTTTACTGTTCCAACTATTATTACTATGACCTTTAACCTTTTCTAATTCTAGTTGTAATTCCTTCAATTCTATTATATCTAAAATATATTTTATTAGATTGTAATTTCTTTCCTTAAACTTTTATTTTACTAACTTATTTTATTTTTTCACTTTGACCTTAGTTATAGCTACTACACTATTTTTGCAAATTTTAACCTTCCTTTTGCTAGGTACAATAAGCAGTACACACCAGATTTTAAGTAGCTCTGCTTTTGTTAAAGATAGCCTATTTCTTACTCCAAAATACCCTTTATCAATTGCTTATCTCTTTTCTTCATCTACTAATATCCAGTTTGCTCCTATTCTGTCTAATTCTGATTAAGATTGTCTTCTACTATTTTTTAAA